GTAATGACTCGAAGAGACGTTGAAGAAAATTAGTCGCGTGAAGAATTAAAATATTACGACTTTATAGTCAGCCTGGGTATAATTTAGTTGCATGATTATTTGTAGCGAAATTACTTGAATACTGGATTTATCGTATTGACGGTATATATTCACGTCCCTGGGAGATCCATCCTCCCCTCCCACGAATCATTTCCTCGTGCGTATGCTCCCCACTAAGTTTTCGAAGCACGGGGATTCGTCGTTTGCAGAATCAACGGCTGACGTCAATGGGGACCAACCTTCGGATGGAGCACGTCGAATCATGTTATTTCACATGAACTTCCCCTGTAATTACAACGGCGGCTGGATCCTTTCACCGTAGAATTTCCAAGCATCCTGGTTAAATGACGAAAATCGAATGCAGGAAATGCAGCCGCGCGTTTCCGACGTTCAGAGAGAGAATTATCTCTTCTGGCAGTGAGTGCTAGTTCTCTCTGAAATTAGCTTCGAATGAAATACTATTGACAATGGGGAAAATTTCGTACGTAAACAACATATGGTAATTTCTTGCCTCTCAGAGATATCTTCTTTGTTGTCGTTTTTATACAACAAATTTACGTGCTTGTATATTTTAGGAATGGCCGTTTCCGGACCACCGCGAGCGTCATTATTTTGCAAGGAATCGGACGAGGCGAGTTTAGTGCCTGTTTTTTTGTGCAACCACTTTAATTCGCGCAAGCGTGCAGCTGATATTCTTTAGAAATAGGTCAATTACTAAGGTAGCTCATAGTGCGCTAGGATCTTAAGTAACTAAAAAACACTTGGCTAAAGAGCTTCAAATGCTCCTCTCCTTCGACATCTCTGTTCTCATTGCTCCTCTTGTGTTTTCTAAAGCGGTGAAAAACACAAACAAACCGACAAGATACACCATGTGTTTCAGCTCGAATGAGTTTCCATTCCCTTCCACAGTGAAGAGCAATCTCTTCTCTCTCCGTTGAACACGTTAAATCCACGTGTCGATAATGACGAAGATATTGCATAATTCAAGAGCATCTTTGATCCAACGGGCGGAATGTATGAAAAATCTTGATCGACGATAGCGGCCGCCAGGAAAAGAAAAGAAAAGAAAAGAAAAGAAAAGGAAATTTCGTTGTTCTTTTTTTCCTTCTCCCCATCCTTCACTCTTTTTCCCCTACGCCATAGAAAATATACGTGGGCGTTGGGTGCGCGTGGGCGTTATACGATGGCGTAGGCGTTTGGCCTGTTGCGGGGGCTGAAGAAAAGTGGCCGGGGACTGAATAGGGAAAACGGTGCTACAATTCCTCCACCACTGGTGCTCTAGATGTGAAAGAAAATACGGATTTGCGACGAGAAAATGGGAAATATTCTTCCTCTGCAATTGCATGGTATTGAGAACGCACGTTCTAATTGGAAAGAGTAATATACCTCTTGCCCTGTTTTTTTTTTCTCAGTGATAAATCGCTAAATATTACGGGACATTTCCACGGCATTAATTAAGGCAGAGGGGATCTGTAAGCGCGGCCTTTCACTCAATTTCCGAAGAAAGCAAAATTCCATGAATGATGCAATTAGGTGGATTAAAGCCGGAGGGAACTGCTTTTGATTGCTTGGCCTTTTCTTAGAAAGCATTCTCATCGAATTGCCGCACCAGGATAGAACAATTTTCAAGAAACTCGCTCTCCTTCCCCGCCGTGAAGGAAAAACAAAGTTGACCATTTTTCAATGGATAAACAACTTCTGTCAAATCTGTCCGCGTAAGTGAACGATCTAACTAAAAATTTAGATTACGTTCTAGTCTCTATCTCGTTGAAGAAAATCAGGCTTCATCGAAACGAGATCGTTCCTCTTCAAAGGGTGAATTCTCTGAAAAACAATAAATGGCCAAGATGTGACCAAGGAGAGAATTTCAAGGAGGATCTGCCTCGGGTCATCGCGTGGGTAGACCGTATTTTGTGGTAAAATAAGTACGCGCGTATGTGTGTACATGTTCCGTGTAGAACATGTTCATACAACGGTGCGCGTGTGCACGTCATATCACTTGGCAGAGACGCGGTAGGGGTTGCTTTCAGGGGTAGGGGTGCTCGTTCACCAAGGTGGGGGTGGTTGATCGACCGTATCCCCAGTTTTCTAGTCGTCCTGCTCAGCCTCGACGTTCATTCTACCTCGATCAGCCGAACTCACTAGTTCTCTGCATCCTTCCTGGAGGAACGATCTCGAGTAAGAAGAAGCCTTAGCAGACTGATCTGGCCAGACTGATCTAGAACGAAGAGAAACAATCGACGCTGAGCAAGGTGAAGGAACCTATCTTTCAATTGTATCCGGTATCCACGGCCCGTTTCCGCTTACGAAAAACGTTATTCTCCTTGAAATTTTTTTAATCACGCACGGCGATCCTTCGATCGATTTAATTGGCCAATTTATTTCGTCAGAGAGACGAGGACTTTGCTGAAATTCTTCGGGTATAAATAGGAGAATTCGTGCTCAGTCACGAAGATTTCTTATCAACGATCGCAAACTTATCACTCTCCCCTCGAGCTGTGTTAACTAATCTAAAGATAGAAAATTTAGTTTGACTTGAACAATTCCAGTGGAAAACATGTTTCATGCACGCTTCGAGATACTTAGCAACAAAATATAATAGTAACAAGTTTCAGACAGGTATATAACGTTTTGTAACGTAGAGACTTGTGAACATTATATTTGAAACATATTTTGCCTAAAGCAGATAATATTGATGCTTCACGTGCGTCTGGATTTATCAATGAAAGCACAGTCAATGAAATGTATTTTTAATTGCGAGTTACATAGACGCGTATACAAACGCGATAAATGACTATAGTATTTCTAGACGCAACAAGTGTGCGATTTCTGGGTCTACTATATCCGATTTAGCTTTATTCCCTGGCCAGGTTTAATTGCTCAATGCTTATCATTAGCGTCGAAACTTCATTTTGCATTTTATTCAGCTTCGCGAATAATTATCGTACGGCACACACGATATTTTTGAGACGAAATTTTCTGTATAAATAAGAAGAAACTATGTAAATGAATTAAATTATATATATATATATATATTTTTTTTTTTTAAACTCTGATATTTCGAACTAATGGAATAGTTGAGTATAAATTTCCAGGCTGCCTTTGCTGAGATTTAGTTAATTGCATATTTAATTAAAAACGGTAA